TTTAAAACGATTGCTCTCGAAGCAGGAGATGCCGCAGACACACTCTTCCTTTTTTGGTAATTCCACTTGAAAGATGACCTGGAAGCTCGACTTTGCATGTGCTATTTTACAATTCTGCAAAGGGAACTCTATTATCCACCTTATCCCTACATTTTACGTACAGGACGAGCTTTCTTCCAAAAGAGCCTTCCGCAGACTTCCATTTATCTTTGTCCTGGTTTTATCTGGTTTCTTCCCCAACTTCTTCACCTACAACTGTTTCGAGCTTATTGAAGTGTTGGATAGTCTACTGCACAAACTCTTTTGATATTGAGTCGTCTTGGAAGCCCATTTGCCAAAAGTCGTTCGTGATAGACAAGATGAATTGGTGGTTCTATTATTTATCGAAATTACTCATTAATAATAATCTTCTTACTTCTTTAGCGTTTGTCCCACCAGGTGGCGGGGTCCGCTTTCCTGGTGTGTTGACGCCACTTTTCCCGATTGAATGCCTGATCGGGATGAAGGCCAGCTAATTTCAAGTCCTCATGCAACGTATCGAAGCCATCGTTGCTTCGGGCGTTTCTTAGGCGCTTTCCTTACCCATTAATTGTAATACTTATATCAACATCACCACGAAAGAAGGAAAGAAGAAGGAAAGGTATAGCTCGTTAATGGGTACAAAAAAATAGATGAAAATAGGACGGAAATGTCGGGTTAAATGTCTCATTATCGCAAAAAAAGAAAAGAAATCCCAAAAAGATCCAAATGTGACCTATTCTCACAATTGCTCTAAACAGTGTCTGCTAACGGCAAAGTGAAACTCTACGCTGCTGTGAGTTAGCAAACAAAGATGCGAAGATAAACGAAAGGAATTAGCGAGACACAGGTGCCAACGCACACACCAATCATTTCTCTGAAGCGAATGCCGGCCCAACCAGGGCTTGCAGATCAAACTGATGGCAAGTAATACCTTTTCGAAGCCCTATGATAGGCAAAATTGGCAACCTTTCTGCACAGAGGACCGGCCTGCCTAACCATCAAGAAGATCTGTCCACTTGTCATAGGCTCGCTTGGGAGGTAGACTCAGCGCTATGCATGTAGAAAAAAGAATTCACAGCCACGCTTATTTGCTTGATTAGAGACGCAAGGATTTGTCGAATCAAAGTAGTCTAACCATAAGGGCGTCGTGAATACCACAGAAATTTGCATGCATACTGTTCAAATGCCTTATGACATGCTCTGATTGTTACACATTTTTGACAGAATGTGAATATGTTAAGTTTTCTTCACATTCTGCTTTTATTTATTTATTTTATTTATTTCATTTATTATTCATAGACGCAGAAGATGCGTGAGGACCACAATTAAACAAGATTACAATACCGAATAACTATTATATTTATACTGCACTCTCCTTTTTGCGATATCACAAGAATGGGATAAGTATAGCATATCATGATATATTTTATTGAGGAAAGGTAGAACCCTGCTTGAGAGGAATTTTGCTTTGACCTGATTCTCACTCCAAGTCGTCTTATGTTTATGCTAGTATCCCTAGTCCTAGATCGCAGTGAAGTGAAAACGTGTGCAAGATTAACAAATGCTTTTCATGTCAGAATTTTTAACGCCAGAATGAATTCATTGACTCATCTTCTTTTAACCGAAGAGGTAAGTTTTTGTCTGGGCACATCATTCCTTCTAGCGCAATGTGGAGTTACCGTTTTCCTCTGAGCGCGACGTATAACTACCCATTCATTTCATACTAGGTGTAGCTTTCTCTATCAACAAGAAATAAGCTCATGGTAGAGGAGGCAAACCGTCTTGTGTGGTGTCGATTCGGAAAAAATACTACTTTTTCAGACGAGGTAATCACATGAGTTAACGGCAATTCAATACCAAAGTTTTACGAAGTCGGTACGAAACAATTTGGCATGCAGTACATATCATGTCAGTGCTTAGATACGATATCAGTTGGTATATTTTTGTGTTTTGTCGCAACATCTTTTGATATGTTCAAATGGCTCCATTTTCAACTTCTTTGGGTAGCCCGAAGATTCCTACAAAGATGCGGGTCTGACATGGTTCCATGCTAGCTACTATTGCCTCCATGTGAATAGAGAGTTCCCTCACCCTGGCTTCCAATTACCTCCTCGCCCTAATATTCTTCAAGTGTTTGGAGACCCATACAAATCTCTGAAGGAGCTGTGTATAGCATTCGATGTCAGCTAGTGGTGCTCATGCCAAAAGCTCAATGCCTGGAGAAAGTATGAACAACAAATTATAATTAAGCGACTAAACGTCATCAACTGCACTATGGTGCCACTAGCCTGCTCTAATGCACATTTCATCGTACTGGTTTCTTCGAGAAGCAATCACACAACAAAAAGGAAACAATTGCGAAACACTTACGGCCGCTGTTGGTTTGTTGTTTTGTTTTTTTGTGTTTTTTGTTTTATATGCGAAAGAGTTTCCCTCCCCATAATTGATCTTTTTGGAGCAACTTCATCGATTTTTGAAAAATCGTGGTAGCTTTTTTAGTTCAATTTTCGCATCATGTTCGTGCTTGGTACGTCACGTATGAGAGAAAACGACTTGTCAGTTGAACGGGAGGCAGAAACTCATGGAGATATCTTGCAGGTCGACATCACTGATAGTTACAGGAACCTAACCATCAAGGTGCGGAATTACGCAATGTCTCAAATCCTTACTGGATATGGAGTCATCCCTTATGGGGGAATCTGTGTGAGATTTTGACGTTTCCTACTGAGCGCAAGAGCAAAGAAGAAGACATTGATACACTAAGGGGACATCACGGGGTTTTCCACCCCAATTCCTAAACACTGCTGTCCATTTCGTAGACGATTGCAGCCAGTTTCGTTTTTCTTCCACCCCAATCGGCTGCAACGATTACGAAATGGCTGCAACTTTCACGAAATTGGCCGAAACTATCACGAAATTGGCCGCAACGTTTACGAAATTGGCCGCAACGTTTACGAAATTGGCTGCAACGTTCACGAAATCGGCTGCAAGGCTTACGAAATCGGCTGCAAAATTTACGAAGCCGGCGCTGAATGGCTCCCTTTCGTTGCAGACGTTGCGTACACCATTACCCTGGCGAATTTATTCCTTAAGCTCCACTACGAGAAGGTCACACCACCTATTTCGCCTATCCTGCCCCAAGCCGCGATAGAGTTATCACTCACGGTATGCATCCTACCTGCAGAAACATACTATACAAGATGGCTTACACATAGATAGGGTAAATAAAAGAGTACATCACATCATTATGGAAAAGAAATTAGAGAATACATTCAGTAGCTGTATATTTATTATATTACTTATTTAAACTGCAGCTGTGCGGCTATATTCGTGCTTACCAATGACCAGCTCCAATTCCTATAAGCTGCTCACTCCAGATTAATTAGACGGCGCCACAGTGGAACCCCACCCACTTCGGTCGGATTCCTTTGCGTGCGATACCTGTCAAAAAGAAGAAGCTACTCTCAGGGAACCTCCAAGACAACATGGAACCTCCATTGAGACTATTTTGATGAAGGCAAACCGGTAGCTGACCAGTGTTGGAAATTCGCTGAAAAGATTAACCTGCGACCTATGCGGACGACTCCACAAGCCAACAAGATTGTGCTGCGTTGTGAAATCCGTGCAAAGGTAGCAGAAAGGTTATTGTGCGGTTGCGCTAACGACCACATTCGCTTCCGCGAGTTTTAGGGGATTATGAGGTTAAAAATAACATTGAGGAGTGCGGTGTTCAATATCAGGAAAAGGTAGTTGGAAATAAAGTTACAGAAAATGACCAATCTATGATAATTCAAGAACATTGCTGCTATGAGGTATGTCGCTGGTGTCTGCACCAACGTGGGAGCCGTTCTCAAGATAGACGACGACGTAGCATGGGATGTGATGAGCACAGCGTCATTGATCGATTCATCGATAACAGAAGGAAGTATCCGCTGCCCTCTGTAAGACACAGTTTATTTGAAAACTTCTCGAAAGTGGCAGTGGTGAAGAGCGTAATATTCTAAAGTAAGTTTTTAATGAGAACGCCAAGCATCAAATTTCGGTTCTGTTCTTGATTCTCATAGCTGAAGCAGGTAAGGAGAGGTAGGAGTGTAGCTCAGAAGGTCCATCGCACGACGGTTTTACCAAAACTATAAACAAGACCAAAAGCCCTTCATCTCAGCCTAGCCTTGCCCACTTTTAATGTTTGAACAAGAAGCTGTACAGGAGTATCGTCACTAACCCTTTTTTCTTCTTCTGCGACGATTCCCAAAACTATAAACAAAGACCGAAAGCCCTTCATCTCAGCCTAGCCTTGCCCACTTTTAATGCTGAACAAGAAACTATCACAGAGTATCGTCACTAACCCTTTTTTGCGACGATTCCCAAACTATACAAAGATCCGAAAGCCCTCATCTCAGCCTAGCTGGCCACTTTTATGTGCTGAACAAGAAACCTATTACAGAAGTACTCGTACTAACCCTTATTTTCTGATTCTGCGACGATTTCCAAAATTATAAACAAAGGCCGAAAGCCCTTCATCTCAACCTAGCTTTGCCCACTTTTAATGTTGAGCAAGAAACTATTACAGAGTACGGTCCCAAACCCTGTTTTGTTCTTCTTTCTTAACTTCTTCGTTCTGCTCCAGATGGTCATGATCTACATTACTGCATTAGGAAGGCTTTAGATACCGAACAAGGAAACAACTGACCAAATGCAAATTCTTGCAGCACGTCGAAAATGAAGGCTTTTTGCCTAAACAATTAAAGTGACCATGAGCACCGTATAATTAGCCAGGAATGGCCCTCAGTCTTTGCCGTTTGTATTGGCTCTCCCATTGCACGCATTACCTGCTTAACGATCTCGGGTAGTTCCTTCCGTAAGCCGCGCATTGAGAAAGGTTCAACGAGCAAGATTTTCTCACACGACATGAAACAACCAGTGTTTAAGCATTTTCACTGGGACTGATTACTACCTTTGTATGGCACGGCACACCACAATCGTTTCTCCGTCATCTATAGACACACTCACACTGGCCTATCCTGTTGCCTTGCAGCATACAACTTTTATTTTTTGAGCAACTCCCCAGAATCGCCATGAAATTAAAGAGCATTCAGGCAAAACTCGTTCAGTTCTTGTCTCCCTAGAAGGTCTGCTTCATAATTCTAATTATGCTGCTACTTTCAGAGCTCAACAACCAGCTGCTCGGGATTCCAAAACCCCACGGTGAGCTTTACCTCTAGTATCTGCTTCAGTGCACCCTTTTTAGAACTTACACTTACTAAATAGTTTATTTCGATCAAATGAAGCCTGATTTTCGAGTACTATCCGCAAGTATGATTCCAGATTACACTTAAGCCTCGTTGTCATCTATGATGTGAATGCAAGGAACGGTAAGATGCACCATATTAGGTCAAATCGCATTGAAATCACAGTGAGCGAAGTTCTGAATAGGGGAAACCAAGCGGAGAAATAAGCAAGTGTTGCATAATCACAACCATACTATAAGTGTATCGCTGGCTTCTCCTCCCGCTCAGATGCCAGAGAGACTTGGACACCAGGATTAATGATGCGTCAAGGGAACTTGCTAGATCCTGCAATTCGGCGACTCGATCTTTGTACAAGAATCGCTAATTATGAATCAATTGTGAATTAATGCTGCGGCAGAAGAAATGTCTTTCACAAACCCGATGATGGGTCTAATAATGATCTGAAGAGCTTACGATCTAACTGAAATTAGGAAAAAAGTAACGTCTGCTTCGCAATAGATAATCATGTCATCGTCCATCGCGCCTATCGAAATCTGTTTTTTATTGGAGACTACGGTCTGAAGGTGTGTCGTCTTTCAGAAAAAGCTCGCCTCCTTCTATCGTAATTATTGTCCAAATTGGTCAATAAACTTATTCTGGATTGCCTAGGATGCCAGACGAGTTATGTTTACAGCATTCCTACCGGAAGAGCAATGTTAAACACCGCAGGAAAGAAGTGACAGCTCTATGGCGCATGTGTACAAGCATCATTAGGCAGACGAAAAACTACAATTAACAAATTCAGCAATGGTTCTTACTCTAGTAACTAACAAGGTCGAGTAACGTGATATATGAGCGAGTTTGTACCACTTGATGCACATGGTCCATCATAGCTATGTTGTTATTGGTCCTCGTGTCGAACACTCAAAGCCACGAGTCGGGATCAGGTCCCAAGAGCCAGTCCTTCTAGAGTGAGAAAGAGGGGTCCCCAAGGCAGGAGGCACGACACTGTCGCGACTCAAAAGTGCGAGGCAACGGCGCTAAGGCCTTGCCTTGTGTGCTGCCGTGCTGCCATCCTTATCAACCACGGCATACGTGGTCTCTGCGCCTCTCGCGTACGACGTACTATCTCGCGTTTTCCCTCTCCTCGCAGCGCTGTGTCTCTCCGTCATACCACGGCCGACCTCACAAGGAATTTCGGTGTTTTCTATGAGGCTTAGGCTAGTGTTAGTCATTGCACTCCTTTCTTAATTTTCAAACAAAATGACGCATCAATTCAATCCGGACTCGTACCTTTAAGCAGATGTAGCAAGATCAACGGTGCATTCGAACTACTCGAACGAGAGGGTCACATTTGTGGTTTTGGGAAATAGAGGGGGTCGCATTCAGGGGTTGAGGTGGATGAGTGGGATTAGTAGTCTGTTGAGCAAATGTCGAGGCGATGGTTTTTGTGGGATTTGGTGGATGTGAGTGGCACAGCATGAGGTAGGATAGGTGGATGGAGAGGAGTAGAGAAGAAAATTAGCCGTTTCATACCTCTCGTTCAATGGCCCTTTCAAGGGAAAGTTCCCTGAGTCCCATAGTGGTGGTGGGGGGGGGGTCCGTCGAGATCCTTCTAACGGAGGGGATCGCGAAATTTTTGGAAAACGTCACGGTTGACCCTGATATGCAGTCTCCCTATTCATTTCTCAGCATGCCACTGACCATGAGTACACCTCCAGTGATATGATCGCGGAAACGTAATGTAGAATCTACTACAGAATTCACTAGAGAGTTTACTGCATTTTGAACGACTTGTGCCTTTTCTTCCCCTTGAATTTATCAATATCGATCAATATCACACGAATTTATC